GAATTTTGCAAAAATTTGTATCAGAACTTGTGAAAGTAATAAAATTTCCATGATGAATTTTATTATTCATGAAGATAATAAAAATTGTATCGAGAAATTTAAAAAAAATTTTGAAAATAATTGAATTTCAGCGAAGAATTTTATTACTTTTGAAAATAATTAAATTTCTAGGGTGAATTTTATTATTTATAAAGATAATTGGAATTTTGACGAGAATTTTTAAAAATTTCTGAATATAATTGAATTTCTGCGAAGAATTTTATTACTTTTGAAAATAATTGAATTTCTAGGATGAATTTTATTATTCACAAAGATAATTGAAATTTTGAACAGATTTTTTTTAAATGTTTAAAAGTAATTGAATTTTGCAGAAGAATTTTAATATTTATAAACAAGTGAAATTTTGAGGTGAATTTAAAAAAATTTTTTGAAAATAATTGAATTTCTGTAAAGAATTTTCTTATTTTTGAAGATAATTGAATTTTGCAAAGAATTTGATAAAAAATTTAAAAAAAAATTTCGAATTTAATTGAATTTCTGCGAAGAATTTTATTACTTTTGAAAATAATTGAATATTAGAGAAGAATTTTATTATTTATAAAGATAATTGAAATCTTGACAAGAATTTTATTAAAATTTGAATAAATTGAAATAATTGAAAATAATTTAAAATAATTGAATTTCGGAGAAGAATTTTATTATTTTATAAAAATAATTGACATATTAAAGATAATTTTTAAAAAAATGTTAAAAATACCTAATTAAAATTTTGCTATGAATTTTATTAAATTTTTAAAAATTTTATTCTGGATTGTTTGATATTAATGTATCTGTAGTCGAGAAATGTGATTTTTCGACAATTCGTGTTTCCTTTTTGTCGTTTTTTTCTAAAATTTCATGCGACTTTTTTCTGACTTTTTCGGAAATTTTATGCGACTTTTCGTGACTTTTGTTGTGAATTTATGCGACTAAAGCGACTTTTTTTTGAGTTTTAAAGACGATCCGAGCCCTGATTCGAAATGAGAGTAACTTTTTACTCTCATTGTAGAGACAGGTACCTTTGTATTTGAACACTTTGAAGAATTCCCTGAGTGAGGCTGCAACTTTACTGATGTAAAGTAATGATGAAATGAATAACTTTTCTCTTTGTTCTAGTTGTACTTCGAAGTATGTGGGAGAATACTGTCAACACTTGAACCCGTGCAATACGGGACCGCGATGCCAAAATGGTGGTTCCTGCAGAGTGCGCGAGAACATCAGCGGGGGCACGCCAACTTTTGCCTGCTCTTGCCCTGTCGGGTTCACCGCCAGCCTCTGCGAAATACCAATAGCCAACGCTTGCGACTCCTCGCCGTGTCTCAATGGTGCGTCGTGTAATCTGAAGTCGCTGTACGAGTACGTTTGCACTTGTGCCACGGGATACACAGGTAGGCAAGATTATAAATTGAGAGATGAAACTGTTTCTGCTTCTGCGACATTCCTCGACAAGAATTTCATGTTTGCATCGTTTGTGTCGTTTGCTTTCAGGGGAACATTGCGAGAGACAAGATCATTGCGCTTCTTCTCCCTGCATAAATGGTGCAGAATGTCATTCACTCAAAAATTCTTACCAGTGTACATGTGCTCCGGGTTTCATGGGAGTCAATTGTGCAGACGACATCGATGAGTGCGAAGGAGAGCCGTGCAAGCATGGAGCGTGTCAGAACACACACGGATCTTACAAGTAAGTTCACTAAATATTGTAGTTTTTCAAACTTTAATTTCGAGTCGACACGAAGGTTAATTGAAAGTTAATTTTTAATTTAGTTTCGCTTCAGCATCGGTCCCTGATTTAAAACGGAAGCACTTGGAAATAATTGAACTTTAATTATTACTTATTAGACAGAAATTTATCGGGGAAGAAAAGAAGCTAAATTATTAATAGAGGAACGTAGGAACGTAATACAATTTTTTACTGGGTTTCAATTATTATTTTTATTGATAATAAAACTCATTGCAGAATTTAAAATATTTTTTATACATTTTTAATCGAATTCCTCGAAAAATGTAATTACATTTTATATTCTTAAAAATTTTATTAAAATTCGTCAAAAGAATTCAATCATTTAAAAATTTGTTAATAAAATTCTTTATGAGAATTCAATTTTGAGAAACATTCAATTATTCAATAAATTATTTATTTTTGTATTAAAAATAATTAGGTATTTAAAAAGAAATATTAAAAAATTCGTCTCAAAAATTCAATTATTTTCAAAAGTAATAAAATTCTTATCAGAAATTCAATTATGGTCAAAAGTTTAATAAAAGTTATAGTCAAAATTTCAATTATTTTTATAAATATTAAAATTTTTCTCTAAAATTCAATTATTTTTAAAAATTTTAATAAAATTCTTGGCAATATTTCAATTATTTAAAAAAATTTTAATAAAATTCTTGACAAAATTTTAATTATTTTCAAAAACTTTTTTCAATTCAATGAAATTTTTTTACAGAGATTCAATTATTTTTAATACATTTTCAATCTAATTTCTCGAAAAATGAAATTGTTCTTAAAAATTTTATTGAAAGTCGTCAAAAGAATTTTAATTACCTATTTAAAAAATTTGTTGATAGAATTCTTTAAATGAGAGTTCAATTTTAAAAAACATTTAATTCTTCAATAAATTATTTTTTTTTGTATTTAAATAATTGAATTGTCCTAGAATTTTCTAATAATAATAATAATTGATTCAAATATGAATTTCAGTTAAAACTTTAGATAATAATAAAGTTTTGAAAAGGTTTCAAATTATAATCTTTGAATGTTTGAATTTTTCATATTTTTAACTTAAAATTGTGTAGATTTAATTTTTTTTTGTAAAAGTTTAATTGAATTTTTTTAAAGTTATTTGAATTTTTTATTTTCTAATATATATTTGATGGAAGAATTTTCGAATACCTGAATAATCGATGAAATTTCGTAAAATTGAATTGTAAACAAAAGGATTTGAAAATGTTGAAAGAAATTTTTCATAAATTATATAATTAATTTAAACTTTATAAAGAAGAATTTTAGTTTAAAATTCTGGAAAAGAATAATTGAATGAAAGTAATGAAAGTAATTTTGAATGAGTTAGAGTAACAATATTCTTATAATATAAAATAATGATTTTATCAGTCGGTCATTTTTATAACAATTTTTATAAGTTGTTTTATTTCAAAAAGGTTAGAATTAAAAATTTTGTAAAATATAAATGTAGTTTTAAAAACCTGGAAAAATTCCGTTTTTTAACCTGAAAAACCTGGAAAAGTCAGGGAATTTGAAATGAGCAAAAGCGTGGCAATTTATATTTCAATAAATCAAAATTCTAAATTATTAAAACTTTGATCGATAAAAATCTCAATAAATTTCTAATTCAATCGTTTGAAACTTGAATTTATTTATATTTTATGAACAATTTAATAAAATTTGATAAATTATTCTTTTAAATATTTTAAAAAATTATTGACTGAAATAAAAATGAAAAATGTAAGTTTTGGAAACTTTGTGTGATCTTGAATAAAAGAATTAATAAAATTTGAAGAGGAAATAAATAAATTCCATTTATTTAAAACATTCAGAATCTTAAGGTCTTAATTGTATTTCATCATATAATTCTCATTTCAGAAAATTGTATTAATACAAATGTCAATTTAGTCCATCAATTAATTTTAATTTTAGTGAACACAGATTTCAATATACAATTTGAGTTTTAAACGATTGATAATAATTCAATTTATCTTGCAAGTTTTTGTCTTATCAATAAACTTTCAATTTTTTAATCTCTTTAAACTAAAAGTAGTCTATTTTTGAGGCTGAATCTAAGATGTAAACGGAGTCTATAATGCTCTAAACAAAGTTGACTGATGCCATTGGTTAAGTTTAGGGTGTGAACAGTTTGAGACTTGTTTTTACTGAGTTATTAGAAAAATTACATCGGAAATAGTTTCCTTAATAGAAAATTTTATGTATATGTTGTACTTTTACTATTAGGAAATTGAACGAAATTAAGTTTTAATTTTTAACAAAGAAAGTCAGATAGAAATGTGAATATAAAAAAGGAATTAATTTGTTTCTTAAGGGAAAGGTTCTATTAAATTTTTAACTGTGTAAAAATATTTTAAATATTCCATAAAAGTTATTTTTATGGTTACTTTTTGTGAGGAATTCAAGAGTCATAAAAAATGGGTTAAATAATACTGTGACCCATTTAAAATTTTTATTTTTTCTAAAGCTTGATAGATTTTGAAATCGACTGATAACTTTGTAGAAACTATGTCCATAGGGTAAAATTGCTAAAGAATATTATTGTTATTCAATTTTTTTTAACTTGAAAGTTAATTTATTTTTCCAACTAATTTCAAACCATAATTTTTTAATATGAAAAATATATAAAAAATTAGTTTGAAAAATCAATTTTCAATTTAGAAAATTGAATAAAAATAGTATTTTTTAGCATTTTTAGTCTAGAAACAATTTTTAAAAAGTGCTTCAAAAATTTTTCATTCAGAAATTTTTGTTTGGATACAATTTTTGATGAGAATGTAATAATTTTATATAAGTTAAATGTAAAATTTAAGTTTCTTATTTTTAGTGAAAAACAAAAATTTGAATTTTGGAGAAGTTAGAAATGATTATAGAAATTAAATTATTTTCAAAAGTTATAAAATTCTTCGCAGAAATTCAATTATGTTCAAAAATTTTTTAAATTGCTTTTCAATTATCTTTTGTAAATAATACAATTCTTGTCCAAAATTTAATTATTTTCAACAACGTAAATGTTTGAATTTGAAATTTTAGAAAATCTTAATTTGTATGGAAAAATAATGATTGAATATTTATTTAAAGAAGAAGTTATTGCTGTTTGAGAATAATTTTTCAATTAAAGAAATTTGTAAATAAATTAGAACATTTTTAATAATTTTGAGAGTGAATCAGAATATTCTTTAGTGTGAGAGAAAAGTGAAAATTCTGTATGGAAAATTATTATCTGATTATTATCTGGATGCACCCTCTTTTCGAGGGTGAAGGGGGGGGGAAGGGATGGATATCCAGATCCACGGGGCCCTTTAATGTTTAAACACAGCACTAGGTTTTAAAAGTATATTGAAGGGGGTAGCGCGAGAAAATGGACAAGAGACTGCCTTGTGCTGATGCCGAGCTGATGCCGAGCTGGAGAATGAAAAAGAACAACCTTCCCGAGCGGAAACGACCGCGACCGAGCTGCGCCGAAGAGGCCCGACAAGTTTTGAACCCGTTTAACGCGTTTACTTGTTGTTGAACGAATCTGAACGAATGTACAAGGGGGAACGAGAAATTCTCCGAGGAGAGGGGATTGATTGGGTCTGGAGCCTGAGGTAAATGGAGCTGCCCTCTCAATAGGATAGAGTAGGAAGGTTAGGTTAGTCTCTCTCTCACTGCTCAAGTGTAATGTACGTTCGAGTTCGACCTAAACAGTTCAATTTAGCCACTATCAAAAATATTTACTTTATATTTTACATTAAATGAAATTTCGCATTTCGAAACTCGTCAACTCTTGTGTGCCAAGTGCATGTTGGATCTCCGGCAGCTTTCTGTTCGAGTTGAATAAAAAGAGTTTTGGTTCTTGGAATTACAAGGAACTTTTTAATCACGTTGAGTGATTTTAAGTAGTGAATTAATACTGATGCTGGAAGAAGTGACTTTCGAGATACGGCAATGGCAACGCCTCGATTTCCCTGTTTGCACACTACATCTCATGGATACTTTTTGAATTCCGCGCACAGCGGAATAAAGACAATTCGAAACGTTTAAGCTCATTTGCGGGAGTGACATAAAAAAGCTGTGTGTATTCATTTATGAGCGGGGCTGGTAGAGCTGGCAGTGCTGGTGCCAATGACAAGAACCGACAACTGAGAACGAAGTGCGGTAAAAACGTGGGAAAACAGGTTCGGGCAGTGCTAGTCAAATGCGAGTGGTGGGGTTCTATTCGTTCACCGCCAGTTTTCGACAGCGACACAGCGTCAATGTGACGGCACGGGATTATTTTTAAATTTAAATAAATTATATTTCGTTATTCCTTCGTTATTCTTTCAACTTTAGAGTCTATTTATTTATCCTAATTCCAAATTTTAAAGTGCAATCTTCTTTGTTTTCTTCTAATCATTATCTACCTACTGTTTTATTGTGAGAGCAAATTTTATTTATTAACACTGTTGATGGACAATGCCATGGATTTTAAACAGTGCACGTTGAGAGTAAATTAGTTTAAAGCTCGCGTTTTTCTTCAGTATTATTCCATCATTATTTTCAAGAATATGCAGTAAAAGTGCAAATTTCCTCGAATCCTACTAAAATATGAAGACTATGTTTTTATCCATCTTATCACCTCAATATAAACAAATTGAAAATGAATCTTCACTACATTTTGATTGTACTTCCGCTTCTAGTAATTGGTGTGAGGTACGTATAATGAAATATGTTGTGTTAACAAAATGTTCAATTTGTGTACGTTCGCATGAAAATTTTGTCGGCAGACGAGATAATCTCAATTTCAGGGTTGCCATAAAAAATTAATTTTCTTTTTCCCTCACTTTGCTCTGATTTCTAGACAAAATTCTGACTTTCCCTGATCCTAAAAAATATTCTCATTCACTCTAAATATTATTATTTACGAATCTCTTTAATTGTACAATTATTCGAAAACGTCAACAACTTAACTTTTAAATAAATATTTTATTATTATTATTATTCCATAGGAATTAGGATTTTCAAAAAATTTCAAATTCAAAACCTTTATGAAATTCAACAACTTATTTTTTATAAAGAATTTTATCAATAACTTTTAAAATAATTAAATTCTTTTATTACTGCAAACCAAATTGTCCCATTATGCATTTGCGATAACTTTGTCGTAATTTAAATAACTAATAATTTAATTTTTAATTAACTTGGAAAGAAAATGTAAATTTGAACTTTAAACTTGTTTTTCCCTAAATTAGGTTTTTGACACTTGAATCTCTATAAAACTTTCCGAATTTTTCACTTTGAGGGATCCAAACTGTTCGAAATTTAATTAAGAATATACTCAGGTAGATGAGTCCAATAGTGCCAAAGTGCGCCCTTTTCAAGCGGACGTACACATTTAATCAAAACAATCTAGATCATTTTTCTGCGATATTTTTATATCCATTTAAAATTTTATCTATTAATTAGAAACTATAGAAATAAATAAACTGCACAAGTGCAGAAAAAAGGAAATTTTCAACTTTCAGGATAATTGCACCATTTGTAAAAACAAGTTAATTTATCTTTCTTCTATGAAACATTACGTAAATATTTCGTATTCGCTCCAAAAATGTGGATGTTGTACTAGCACGCACCCAACGTCATTAGGTCGCAGTCATGAACGTCTGAAATAATTTGTCATTTTTTAGTAGTTTTACAGAAACTTTATCCAATAAAGTCCCAATGTATTAACTATCCTTAATCTGAATTAGTAGAATTCTACTAACGAATAATAAAGTTTCACTAGTTCTTATGCATTTTTATGAACGACTTTCCTTTTTGATTAGTAAAATATGAGTAATTATTTTAGTAACATATTGATTTATTACATGAGAATTGAGACTTAAGTCTTTAACATCTTGTGCCGATTACTTTTAATACAACAGTTCTATCATTTGGTGGACAACTTTTCATTATTTCATTAATAACTTTCCACTAATTCAGATATTAAGGGGCAGAAATATGAGAATTGCTAAAAAAGCTTTTCCTACTTTTTCACTTACTGCACTGCAATCTGCAGCAAATAATACCTGTTTCTACTGGATAAATAAACTATCCAACTATACTATTCAAAATTGTTCCAAAAGCGTTTTATCTATAATATTTTTTTAAAACTGTATTTTAATGAAAAAAAGGCTTCATTATTAAAATTTTATTTAATTCCATATTGTAAATTTAAAATTAATTTCCACGTGGAAAAAATGAGTATAATAGAGAAATAAGTATTCAAGCTAATTTAGGGCTCCCAAAGTGTCAATATAAAGTTTTTTGAAAATTTATCGGAATAATTTTTTCCGTGCAATATTTCCCTCAAAAATTGCATTATTGTTATTTGTTATACATTATTGTTATACATTATTGTAAAATCAATACCAAAAAACTACTAAACGTTATTTTTTTAATTTATAAATTTTTCAAACGTCAATTTGTTGAATTCAGAACCTTATCTAATTTTGACGATCTTGACTCTTTAGTTTTGTTTTAAATAATTTTTTAATTGCATCTACAATTTACAGTTAGACATGAAATACCATTTTAATGGCATAAAAAAGCTAACTCAATGTCTTAAAAATTTTTCAGATGTGTATGCGACAGCGGCTATACCGGGCAAAATTGCGAGAACGAATACATACCTTGCGATCCTTCGCCTTGCTTGAACGGAGGCTCCTGTCATCTTCTGGAACCCTTTCAGTACGAATGCATGTGTCCAGATGGTAAGTTCCAAATGTTATTTTATTCTTTTATTTCCATTTTTATTTTTTACATAAAAGCCCTTTTTCAGGAGTAGGTAAACAATCTTGACTATTTTTTGGACATTTTTTAGAGCAAATTACCAAAGTACCAAAATTGTCTTCTATGTGACCCTAAGTAAGTTTAATTGTGGGACAGTTCCCTTCCTTTACAATGCATTACGTTAAACTTAATTATTTTTCTCACAAAGAAACTTATAGGTCATGTAGAAGACAATTTTGGACTTTTTATAAAAATAAAAAAATTTAAAACCCCCATATTTTCAAAATAGCGATTTTAATTTTTCGTAATATTGATAATTTTCATTTTAAAATATGTTGTTTTGCGGACACTTTCTGATATTCAAATTAGAACAGAAGTTACGGATTTAAAAAAATAGTACAAAGAATTCTAACGTCTTATACTTTCGCCATTTTTATCAAAAAACCTTTGAAATCTAAAACTGAATCAGTGAAATTTGAATGATTTTCAGTGACAATCAGTGTACAATTTACTGAACTTAGAATACCTCAAGTATTGCGAACTTGGCGCCAAATTTGGATTAGATATTTTCCTACGATATTAAGCTAACTGTCATCTGTAGGTGGTAGGTCAAAATTTTCAACACTAAAGTTGAGCCTAAAATTGACTTGTTCACCTAAAATAACAGCACGAAGTTGCCTGTCACGGTGAACTTGGACAAACTTCAACCCAAAAGTTCTATCACATCCATTTTTTTCTGAAAATGTTTCAATGATGCTACACGATCATTTTAAGGCGAAAATGTAAATAATCATCGAGGAAGATGTCCCACGATTAACATCGCTTATGATAAATTAAAAACCCCACGAAAATACAAAATAGATGCAAAATATCCTGCTGTCCAAAGTAAAAACCTACTTATCGCATTATCCGTAAGGTCAAAGTTCACTTGGGTATTCTGGTGTCTTTTTTTTACATATGTTGTAGAAAGAGATAGAAAATCGAAATGTCTCACACATTTTCACATTATTTCTGATCCTAATAAATAAATCACGACCTTTCGGAAAGTGCAATTAGTACACGGAGAAAAATATTAAGTTTTTACTACTTTTATAGTAAAACATTTCTGGTAACTTTACTAATTTTTACAAATATGTTCTTTAAACGTAGTAAAATTTACTTCGAACGTAGAAAAATTTACTCCGAAAATAGTAAAAGTTACTTTATGTTTTTCTTTATGTAGGTTTTTACTTTGGACAACATTAGTCATTTTTCAAAAATTTTTCAACTTTGAGCTATTTTGCAGAAAAATGGTACAAAGAAGAAGCAAAGAGCTTAAAATTCTTAGAAAAATTATAAAAAGAAGATTAATTTATCTTGCAAAGTTTGGAAGATACAATTATTTAAGGGGGGAAAACACCAGTTGTAACGCCAAAAAAAGCATTTATCTAAAATTTTTTCTTAATAAACCATAAAATCTTTTTTAAATATTATTTATTGTCTATTACCTTACATCTATTTCGGAAATTTATATCGGAAGATTCATCGTGTGGCATTACTGAAATAATATCAGAGAAAATAATAATAATTATACTTAATTTTTCAAGCAAAATTAATTAATTTATGAAAAGGAGTAAGGGAATGATTCATAATTGACGTTCCTATAATTAAAATGTATACATCAGGGTAAAGAATAGACTTAATATCCGTGAAATTCATCATTAAACCAATAATTTCTTGAATATTTTAAAACTTTGATAAAGTTCTGTAACAAAGTATACAATTTTTCTCATTTTTCTAACTAGTAAAATAAATAATTAAAATATAGTTGGTGCAAAAACAGTATAAGTGTAAAATTTTTTAATTTGTTCAGAAAACAAAAACATTTTTCTCATAAATAGCAACAATTTTATTACAGGGAGAAACCCTTAAAAAGGTATTTTTTTAATCTTCTGTATAACCTTTTCTAAAATTAAGGAATAATTTGCATTGATTTAAACTTTGGTTATTTTATTTGTACTTTTAACTACATTGTTAGTTTTTTTATCATTTTGATCGGACAAAATTAATTTATGAACTAATTTTTCAAGGGAAAATTTAAGATATCATACCACTTCTGGTTTTTAAAAAGTTAACTATTTTCTGGAATTTTTTTTCAGTTCCTATAGAATATGTTGATCTAAAATTTTTTGGATTCAATAAAGGTACTCTTTATGAAAAAACTTTTATTAGTTAATTAAAATAATTCGTTCATTTAATATTTAATTGTTTACAAAATTAGTCAATTTTAACCATTTATGGACGGTTTAGAGTGTAAACCTGCTAACTCCACTTTTTATCGAATTTGAGATTCTTTTTGTATTTGATAGATAAAGAGGTGATACATCAGCCAAGTAAAACAGTTTAATGCAATTATGTCTCTAAATTGCTAAAAAAAAAAAGTGTTGTTATTCTATTAATAAAACAAATAAACTGAAAGTTTTGTTCTATAAGAATATAATCTAAAAATTCTTTTGAAAAGCTTTTTGCTTCTCCTGGAAAATTTCATAATTGTGAGGTGGCAGATTTACACTCTAAACCGTCGATATTCTTGACTGGAACTAGAATTATTGCAAAATTTTAATTTTTATTATTTCTTCAAACTCAAAAATTGAAACAAGAAAAGCGGGATTTTTCAAACACTCTTTAAATCGCCATCATTTTATTATTTAAGAAACAACTATTTTGCAATAATACTGAACATAAATTCTTTGGTTTCTGTATTTGGAATTGTTCGTCTTTGGAAAAAATATTAAGGCCATTGACATCGATTCTTTCATGAGGGTCTGTAAGCAATTAAATATTACATAAACAATTTATTTTAAAGGACTAAAAAAAGTTGTGTTTATAGGAGAAAACCTCAGCTTTTGTTAAAAAAAAACAGTGGGTCTTTTCCCTCCGAAAATGTATATTCCCAATCCATAGACCACAAAAAATCTGTCGAAACTGATAATTTGACTGGTCCGGCAATTAATCGAACTGTTATTTGACCCAGCTAAAAGTTAACCGAATTATTGTATCGAACAATTCTATATAAAGAAAAGTTTTAAAGAGTATTTGAACTTAGTAAAGTGACAATTTGATTACATTTCTGTTCGGTCAAATGACAATAATGAGAAAATGTTCTAAAATTTTCCAACTCCTGTTACAGAAACATTTTTTCATTTTTAACGTAAACTCGTTGAATAAATTGTAAAAAATCATTTACACTTTCTAAAAGTTCATTTGAGTGTTTGCTGCATGAGCATATGAAAAGATAGTCCTAACAGTAATGGATATTTTAGAAATATCCTAATTTCCACGAACCGGTGGTTGTTCTTAGGACGAAATCATAAATATCCGGATGCTGTGCTCGAAAATTCTGTAGATAGTATGCGTAGTGTTGCGTTGGTTTCTTCTTCGGTTTTCCACAGCCGAGCGTCTATTTCTTTGTTTCCATTTGCTTTCTTAGTCCAAATTGTGAAAAAGCTATTGTATCATAAGAAATTAGTATTTTGAAGTTATTCATTTTTATTGAAACATTATTTTTCTAACCCACTACGTCCATGTTGAAACAGTTTAAATTTTTAACACCTTTATGGAAAATTTTCTACATGTTTTAAACTATTCAGCAATGATTTATTTTGTATTAAAGCAAATATTGATTTTTTTAATTCCAAAAAAGGGAGATTTAAATTAATTGACGAGTATGAGCCTTCTGTATACGATGGGACTTGAAGTTTGTTGTTTTCAAGATGGAAACACCTGTAAGATTTGAGCCGAATCGTCACCAGCAAGTGCTGCTTTTTAGTCCCTCGCTTACTATATTTGTAAACTTGTAAGAAATTCCTTTTCTTTTTTTCGTAGATTGGAATTTTTTTCTTTTCAATAATAAGGAGAAAGTAACGGAATACTATTGTCTTGTTTTCACTTTAAATGAATTTGTATGGCAGAATTTTATATCTAAAAATTGAGTTTAAAATTTAAAATTGCTGATACAACAAGTGGGGTTTGTGAATAATATTTAGATGCTAAATATTAGTTTGATTTACACTATAATTCATTAGTGCATTGCAAAAGAGAAGCCGTCCTTGCGATTATATTGGTTTTAAGCAAATAATTTTGCTTTATGCACCCTCGTGGTATGGTCGTGACCACCCGGTGCTTTCAGTGGGTTTAAGTGGGGACTTGAGAGTCTGCGTTAACCTTCTCTTTGCTTTGACGGCCCCAACAAATGGCGGCTCTCATTTTAACAGGGATTCACATTTATCCTTTACAAAACTCAACTCTTGTGGATATACTTTTTTCCCTTGTAAATGGCAAATCGTACAATATGCTTGATGAACTATCCCTTATTTTTTGCACCATTCAGAGCGGATGTAAATTGCAATTATGTTTAAAAATCCTTTCTATTTTAAATTTATTGTTAAACATTGTTGGCAGAATGAGGATGGTTGGATTATCCGAAAAAAGTGTCGCGGGTTTTTCAAAGAATGGTGTTAGTTATGTTTACTTGCATTGAAAATGAATAATTGTAATTGAATTATATTGAATTTGTGAAAGCAGGAAGTAGTATTAATACAATTGTATAAAAAGTGCTCCTCAAGTTGAGAGTCAATGGTTTGCCGTAGTCCATGGCATGAGAATTTTCCCACAGTCCCCACCAAAGCAGGACTCAGTCAGGACGCACACCCGCTCTAGCGACGTTGCCACGCCTCTGCCACAGCAGAGAAACACTGCATTGCTGTTTTATGTACAAGTATTCTGCCTATAGCCCTATATGACGCAGAAAGTTTATCCAGTTTATCGCACCATCCTACCACTGCCTTTCTTGTTTCTTCTCGCAGAAAAATCCACTCTATTTTTATAAATTCCCTTCAAATATTATCTAATTTCAATCATTTCTAATTGCAATGATTCAATCGTTTCCAAATAATTGGAAAAAAATTGCTGTTGCACTGCATTTCTCAATAGATTTTTGTCC